CAAATGGATGGATTTTGTTTTTGTATCCATTTTGTTTGCCTGTGTCTTTTTATATGTGAATTGAGACCATTGATTATTAATAGATATTAATGACCAGTTATTGCTAAATCCTGTTAGTTTTTGGTGGTAGTGTTGTATGTTTCTTTTCTTTGGTATTTGTTGGTGTGGCACTATCTATTGCCTGTGTTTTCATGAGTGTATCTAACTTCCTTAGTTGGATTTTTCCTTCAAGTGAGGTGTATAGGGCTGTATTTGTGGATAGATATTGTTTAAATCTGGTTTTATCATGGAATATTTTGTTTACTCCATCTATGTTGATTGAGAGTTTTGCTGGGTATAATAGTCTGGGTTGGCATCCATGGTCTCTTAGTGTCTGCATAACGTCTGTCCAGGACCTTCTGGCTTTCCTCTATCATATCTTCAACGTCAGAGATCAGCTCTTCTGTATCTTGCAATCTGTTGGTTATGCTTGCATCTGTAGTTCCTGTTCATTTACTCAGATTTTCCACTTCCAACATTCCCTCAGTTTCTGTCTTCTTTGTTGTATCAATTTCAGTTTTCAAATCTTAAACTGTTTCCTCACTTGTTTAATGGCTCTCTCTTGGCTTTCTTTAAGGGATTTACTGATTTCTTCCATTGTTTAGTTTGACTTTTCCTCCACTTCTTCAAGGGAAATTTTCATTTCCTGTTTAAAGATCTCTATCATCTTCTTAAGGTCATTTTAAGGTCAATTTCTTCTATTTCTTCTGTGTTGGGATATTCAGGTCTTGCTGGTGTAGGTTCTGATGGAGCCATATTGGTTTTTTTGTTGTTGACTGTATTTATATACTGGCGTCTACCCATATGTTTCTCCACGTGGTGCAAGTGGTGTCTGTGTCTGAGGGAGGCTCTCTTGGTTTGATTGATACTCTTGGTCCAGTGGGAGCTCTTGGTCTAGTCGGTGCTGATGGACACTTTGTCTGAGGGAGCAGATATTAGTCCAAATAGCGCTTGTGTGTTCTCTTAGTCCAATTAGGTGCTGGCAGGCTCTGTCCTAAATACATATTTAAAAACACAATATGTATTATGGGTAGTATATATGTGTAACATATTATAATATTTATAATTGTGTATATAATAATATATGCTACTTATATATTATGATGTATGATTCCACTAGTAATTATAATATTATGATGTATAATTTCATTTAGACTTAGAATATATTATACTATATAACATAATCAGAATTTCAATAATCACAACTCTGCAGTAAGTATAATACATTATACTATACACACATTCTCATAAGCATTGGCATGGTACATTTCCATACATGCTTATACTGTACTTGATCATATTCCCCTACACTACGTCAGTTCCCGACCATATCTTTGTGACTGATACTGTGACTTTACACAAGCCTAGTCCTCTCCTTCCTCATGACTAGGAGAGACAGGGTAGATCTTGTTTCTCTTTGTGGAACTGCTTTGTCTCCCATAAAACTCTATCTTGTTTAGATACTTTCCTTATAACACAACAGTTCTCTGGTCACGGTGCTGAGTGTGGATTCTTCATCATTGTTCATCAAGGAGAGGAGCTCACACTTCCCCCATTCCTTGAGCTTACTTGGTGGTGGGATCAGGCTAACACTGGCACAGAGATGAGTTTGGATGAGTGCCTTTGCTTTCTCTTTTGTGAAGTATTTTCTATAACCCTGGTCTTGCTTTGAATGATTCAGGAAATACATGAGTTCTAGGCTCTGCCTTGTTTGGAGCTGTTTTTGTTGCAAATCCAAACTTGTTGCTTATGACTTAAGTGTTTAAGTGTTTTTCTTTTGTCTTAATTCAATATTCACACATGTCTAAGAATTCCTTTCATATTATCTAAATTCTTGGGGTATAAAAACTGTAACATCCCTGAAAGACCCTCTGGACTATAGTTGTATCAGTTAAAACATCAACTTTTCTATAGTGTAATCCGTATCTGATCTCTCTGGATCAGCTTTGTTGAGGGGTTTGCATTGTGGCACATCCTTGCAGAGAAGCATCTCATTCTTTCAGGAATCTTGGGATTTTCCGTTGCATGCCAACTTTACTTATTCCAACTCTGATCTTTGCTGGAATTCCTTAACCACTGCTTTGGATTTGGGTTCTTCTAGTATTTTTATACCCTTGAATAGCATCATTACATTGTTTGGGATGTCTCAGATTTCATGACAGAGAATTCCAAGCTATAACCTTCCCTCCTTAAACTGCATTCCTTTTTTATCTTCTAGTATTCTGTGTGTCTGAAATTTCCCACAAGATAAAGTGGTTGAAATTGAGCAGAACACCATGGGCAGCCACATGGAAGAGGACATTCTGGAAAAGGATTTCAGGATGTTAATATCTCTAGGGTGTGGTTCATTTGGGGAGGTGAAGCTGGCCTGCCACCTTCCCACACATACAGGAGTGGCTGTCAAGGTCCTTGAGAAAAATACCAACAGTGTGGCTGACATCAGCACTGAAGTGAAGATACTTCAGTCTTTAGAACATAGGAACATTGTTCGATTTTTTCACATGATCGACACACTGACAACCACTTATGTGATTATGGAGTATGTGGCAGGAGAAGATCTGGAGAGCTGCCTCCAGGCACTGGGCTGTCTAAAGGAGGAGGAGGCTAGAGGGATTTTCGGGCAGCTGGTGTCAGCGGTTCACTTCCTCCACCAGAGACACATCGCACACCGTGATATCAAACTAGAAAACATCCTAGTCGATGCAGCAGGAAATGCAAAGCTTTGTGACTTTGGTATGGCAATTGAAATCACAGAGGGGCAGATGTTGGAGGAGATCTGTGGCTCCTTGCTCTATTGGGCCCCAGAGATCTTGGCAAGAAAGCCCTATGATGGACTGGCAGGTGATATGTGGAGCTTAGGTATCGTCCTCTATGTCCTGGTCACAGGGCACTTTCCATACATGGAAGAAACCCTTGAAGGTATGCACAGGGTCATCACCACCACAATGTGTCCCATTCCCTACCATCTGTCCAAACCCTGTCACTTCATCATAGCTCGACTACTCATGGTCCCCACCTGGTACCGATTCACAATCTCTCAGCTTGTGGAAAGACCATGGCTGGGTCCCATTCAACAACATGTACTGCCTGCCACCAAAGAAATCCTGCCCAGGGTCGTGGAGACCATGTGCACCATAGGCTATACCTGTGAGGAGATTGTGTCATCCCTAACTCACAGGCAACAAAATAATCATGTAACGGCCACATGCAACATTCTCAAACACCTACTGAGTTGTGGGGACAGCCATCAGCAAGATCAGATGCACTGGCTAACTAGCAGCTCTGCAGGTCCTGTTCACCTCCCTCTTCCCTTGACCAGGAGAGCCAGTGAACCAGCATTTATAACCCGTACACAAGCTGGGAAGAGTCACTTTAATGAGGAGGATGTGGAACAAAGAGGTGAAAATTGCAGAAGCCACAGCATGCCTCACATATCCTCCTTCCTGGAGGTGCTGTCCTCTTCAGACAACACAGTCCCAGAAAGAGATGCTCTTATGGTTGACGTCATCAACACTGCTGCAGAGGACATTGCAGTCAACAGGAATTCTGTTGACCCCCTGCCTGGCAATCTCTCCTCCCCTGAATCAGTCTTGGAGGCAACACCCACAGGATTTCAGAACCTGGGCTTCTCTGAAGAAGATTCATGCCAGGGGCCAGACGTTCCCAGTGACCAGCACCAGGTGGCACCCACGACATCTGGATCCAGGCCATTCAGGGTCTGGAAACTGGTGAGGAAGGGAGTTTCCCATGCACTGAGAGCACTGTGCTGCTGCTGCTGCTGCTGCTGCTGCCTGCCCACCCCAAGGTGAGACCTGAACCCTTGCATCAGGGCCTTCAAGGAAAAGAGCAACAGGGGAGACCTACATGGAAAACAGTTGGTTAGGCCACACAGATCAATTCCTACATTGTATTTTCCATATACCATTTCAATATCCATTTTAAATGAAAAGTTGTACCCACTCAGAGGGCACAGCAGTTCAGATATGTGGTACCTTAAATGGCAAGTTGCACAGCATCCTGTTCATGTAAAGTCCTGGAAGGTTGAGGCAAAAGCAGAGAGTCTAGTGTGGGGACCACAGTGTTGGAAGGTAGGGAGGAGATTTTGTCTAAAGGGGGCAAAGGTTCAGAATGGAGGAATCAGGAATAGAACTATGGCACAGAACTTTTATCTGCCGAATTCACTAATACAGGTGTTTTCTTATTTTTTTCTGCTTTGAAGTGTGGAAAATGAAATGGCCCAATAGAATTCCAGCCCTGGTGAGGAGCCACGGAAGGGACCCAAGACAGATTGCCAAAGCGCCAGCTCCCTCCACCACATGGCAACAGGCTCCTGTATTGATCCTCCAGCTATTGGGTCTAAGCTGCCACTTTATAACTCCTCCAGCTTACTTTAGCTCCAGCACTATTGTTGGATGAAGAGGTGGTCAGAAGGCAATGTACCCAGTGACTCTTTACCTTCCCAGCTTTGGTTGTCCTTGTAGGACCACTCACACTGCATGGAAAACAGCAGCCTCTACCACCAGGAAATGACTACATACCAATCTTGGCTGCTCATCCTCTTAGTCACTTTAACCCCTCCAACTAATTCTTTGGCTGCCTTTCGGAAAGAACAGTAAGACCTGGGTAAGTCCTCTGCTGAATGGAAGTGGGTGAAGGAGATGAAGTGGATGTATTGGGGAGGAGGAAGCAGACAGGAAGAGGAGAAGTGAGAGGTGGTGTAGAGTAAGGAATAGTCTGTCCTGAGGAACTTCCTGTCAAGAAAGGAACATGAAGGAGATGTGTGTGTTTCCCTGTGACAGGGGCCATGGACAAGCTAGAGCAGGAAGAAACTTCCCCTAAAGTGCAGAGTGGGAGAACGCCATGAATACCCAGCAATGAGGAGGAAAGGGTCTACTCTGAAGGTTCCTGTCATGTAACAAGGTACACAGATAGGATACTGTCTTGGAAATAACATCCTGTTCTTTCCTACAGCTCTGGGGTGCAGCAGGAGAAAGATGCAGGACTATCAGTCAGTGGAGTCCCATCCTCCTCAGTGCTGAGTAAGTCCTGTTGGTTAAAGTCACCAAGAGAGGCACTTTCTTTATTCTTTTGGGTGTTATTTGAGAAAGTAAAATGGCTTATTTGAACAATAGTCTTGGTGTGGTGTGGTGCAACAGGAAGGATCCAGGCTGGAAATCTGTGTCCTGTGTGAAGATATGTTAGGGCTACAGGTTCCAGTATCCATCCTCCAGGTTAGGGTCTCAGCTGCCATCTTCCCCATCCTTCACCTCACTGCTGCCCCTGCACTGTTGTTGAACATCCCTGAGAGTCACGTGTAGCATCGACCCAATGAATGTCTACATCCCTCATGGTTCCTGTGGGACCAGGGTTCTACAACATCTAAAAGCGCTACCTCTGTCAACAGGACAGACTCGCACACAGGTCTCAGGATTCCCTCATCTTTGATCTCTTCATCACCTCCAAACTGCTTTCTGACTGTCTTTTAGAAGAACTACAGCAACTGTAAATCCACTGGGAGACAGGAGAATGGAGATAAGGGGAGGAACAGGGGAAAGGAGGTGGAGAGGATGAAGAGGAAATGAGAGGAACTGTGAAGAGGGTCAGAATGTGTCCAGAGGAGATTACCTGAAATAAGTCAGGAGAAAAGGATGTTGTCCTGGGTAGGGGGCTTGAGGAAGTGAGACCAGGAACAAAGGTCTCAAGCAGAGCAGAGTTGACTCTGGTTTCAACTCTGGCATTCTATTGTCAGCCATGAGGAGGGAAGGCCCTGTTCTGATCACTCGTAGCATAAGTCAAGGTAGAGAACTATGAGGCTGCTTTGGAAAGGGATTCCCATTCTGGGTTTCTGATGAAGGGTTGATTAGAGAGAAGGGTGGCTGCATCATTCAGTGGGGTCCTCTTCTGGTCTTATCTCACTTGGCCTTTGGTAGATCTGATGACATCATTGTCATTGTCTCCACAGCCTCCTTCACCCAGGCTTCCCATGTTTTCCCCCACCTCCTAAGAATATTGCATCATTTTCCCATGTCATGGAAGGATTTATACCTGATATTTGACCTTCCATTAACATTGTTCTGCTCCAGCAAGGGAAGGTAAGTTGGCATTGACTGGTCTGATACTGAGTACTGCCCTTTCAAGGCGAGAGCCATGGAACTTCTCAATGACCAATGCCCACCACTGGGGTCCGTCTTACAAGGTAATCTTGATCATCATGGTTCTCTTCATGACAGCCACTGGTGCAGTGTGAAGCAATGGTGAGTACAGTGTCTGAACTGGTTTCCAGGACACCTTCCCGGTGTTGAGCAAATCACTGATTTCACAAGAGGAAATGAACGCAACAGGGACTCCAGGGTACTAATCTGTGTGAATCATGCACCTGAAGGTAAGACTGAGTACAGAAAATATCTGTTTGTGGTAGAATAGGAGTCTCTGATGTCTGGTCTTGATGTGCTGAAAAAGATCCCATGAAGTGCTCTGTGCCAGCATCCCTGACACAGAGGGAAAGTTATCATTGATTTGCTCGAATGAAGGGCAATGGGAGACTGAGAAACTGCAGTGGTTGACAAGGGAGGAACCAGCTTCTCTGCTGTAGTTGGCCTCCAGATCCATTCTGACCATCTGACCCTGGCCTGTTAGCAAACATTGGTGGATATTAAAAGCTTTGGCCAGATCTTTGCAGCAGGATGATGGCCAGCTTGTACTCTGACTTACTTCTAGAACACTGACCATCTGGTGCCATGAGCACACAACAAGACCCAGTCAGCTTGATCAGGGAGAGACAGATTTTTTTTTAGTTTGTGGGTATCACCTGGTGTCAGACTATGTTTCTGTGGCCTATTTATGAAGGAACAGTTTGAGACATGGTTGAAGAGTCTGTTGAATTCTGGAAATGAGATAGGGAAATTTCCTGAATACCCATTTGATAGTTTACGTTTTTTGAGATTTGTTCTCACTCTATAGCCCTGGGTATCCTGAGAAACTCTGTGTAGAACATGTAGCTCTCAACCTCACAGATTGACCCCTTTCTCTGCCTCCTCAGAGCAGCGTTTATGGATGTGAACTTCCATGCCTGACTTTAAGTACTGGACAGCATCAAATGTAAATTCCTCCAAACATTTGAGACAGAAGGAGGCAATTCTGTGCTTCTTTCATCCTGACAGGGTCAGGAATTGAACTGAAGATTCTGTCATCCAGGATGGACTACAAACAGCAGCAAAGTCCAAATCTAACCTTCAGGATAGAAGTCTATAACCACCAGTGAACAGACACCTGGAGGTGAGAACTGCTGTCATGAATTTTTCTGGGGACCCTGGTCAGTGGGCTGGGGAAGGTGTGCACTAGCTGATACATCCTTGAAAACAGGGCACAGAGCATGGAAAGGCTACTCTCTAACCCTGTTTTCACAGGATCCACACTGCATTCCTGGCACACATCCAACAACTTCAAACTGACCAATCAGGGGAGTCCAGATTGGCTACCTAGTCTGATGGATTGAGTTCTTTGCACTTGAGCCATGAGATCACAGCTGAGGACTCAAGGTGGGTCACTGAGACAGCTGGTGCCTGTCTTGGGATGTTGGAGGCAGGGCTTTCACTTTAAGGACACCAGTGACAGAGGGAGTGCATGAATCCACATATTCTACATAGGAGCTGCCAGTTCTACTCATCTGACACTCAGATTCTGTCTGCTTGTCTGCTGACTGCCATGGCTCCTCTTGCTCATGGATCACACAGAGCTTTAGTTTCTTGTCAAAACCACTTTGAGTTGGGTTTTAGGTCACTGAAAATTGTTGATATTCCTTGGCTAATGGAGAGCCCAGGACTGCAGGTTTCTGAATCCTGAACCAACAAGGACTCTGTGCAGCCCATTCTGAACATTCTGTGATGGTAGAGGTGATCAACCCATCCCAAGAACATTGTAGGCCATCCCAGGAAGACCACTATCCTATTCCATGTTCGTAGTGTTCTGTTGTTCTTGTTCTGGCCCCTACAAACCTCCAGATTTTGCAAATGAATAAAGAAAGTGACATTAGTCTTTAGGGACATGCTAGTCACACATAACACAGTCATTCTCATTTGTATCAATTTTCTGAAAAATGTCTGAATTTCATTCTTGAGGGTGAGTATGTGTTATTGTCCTGTATGCTCTTCATCTGCTAATTTATTATTTCTGTATTGATTTATTCAGTTAGTTAATCATTTATTTATTCATTCTATGTGTCTTAACATGAGGTATCATGACCATATTCATATCCCTATCACTTCACATCCTCCCTCCATCCCTACACCTGCCCCAATAAAACAAAATTTAAGAGGAATAAAGAAAATGAAGACAACATTTTTTGGGGGGGACCATATTTCTCTGTGTAGATTTTGCCTTATCGGGAACTCACTCTGTAGCACAGGCTATCCTGGAACTCACAGAGATCTGCCTGCCTCAGTCTTCCAAGTACTGGGATTAAAGGTGTGCACCACCACTGCCTGGCAATAAGACAAAGTTAAAAGAGGGAGACATAAAGAACTCCTCATGGAAGCTGCAGTGTTAGAGTGTGACAGAGTGAGTCACACTTTGAACCTCTATGTCCACATATCTTGTTAGGGCTCATTACAGAGACACTGGTCGGGTTCCATGCTTTGAGTTTCTACTACACTAATTTTGTATTTGATACTGTCGTCTGTCCTTTGCAATTGTCACAATAACCTGTTTCACTGTGTCGGCATATAAATTTAAAACTCTGACATCAATCTCACCAGTGCCAGTACATTCCCCCTTCTAAATAAAGTGACACAGTAGATCTTGAGATGGAGAGCAGAAGATGAGAACCAGAGACAGCAGAGGCAGCAGGAAAGAATTGACTAAGGGATGAATTTGGAGAGGATGCAAGAGAGAGAGAGGGAGGAGGCATGAGGAAAGAGATGCACAATAGGTCTAGCTAAGTGCTGCATATTTCAAGTTGCCTTAGAGTCCCTTTCACATGTCTGTCCTCTTTAAAGTGATGAGATCTATACATCAGGAGACACAGGGTGGCGATTTGAGGTATGGTCTGGAACAGCAGAAGTAGGAGCTCTGCAGGAAGTCCAGATGGCAGTGTGCCCACTTCCCCAGCATAAAGTGTCTCTGTCCAGTGCAGGACAAGGTAAGGCATCTACTACAGGATTCTCTCCAGGAAACCTTAGTTATCAAGACAATATGATCCAGGGCTGGTGTTTCACAGCATCCTTCTCTAAGGGGAAAATGAGACAATTCCAGGTATAAGCTACCCATGACTGTGCAGACCCTGTGGACCAGTCTGCAGGGGAATAACTAGCAGTATTCATTAATCTGTGCAATCTTCAGGTGTCTGGTCCTAGTGAAATGTTTCCCCACATGAGGGGAAGGGAAATTCCTTCCTCTCCATCCTTCCCTGCTGTTGTATTTGCAGCCTTCATTTATCCCTGTTTCCTGCCCATCAGACAAGACACAGTTCCACTGCATGCTGGTCTAGTTTATGTGTTTGTGAAGGGGCCTCACTGTAGGGAGTTTCATCAGAACCATATTTGTCTCCTAACAGGAAAGTGACAGCAAGCTGGAGAAAAATGGGGACCACATCAGATGGAATGCTGGGACTTTGCTCCACTTTGGAAGTGAGTAGGCCTTACCTAGCCTAGGGCACAGTGGTCAGAGGTGGGGTCAGCACTCTTAAAACTACTTTGTACACAGGTCCCACTTGGTACAGTGGTCAAACCTAGGCAGCCTTATTGACCATACAACTGTGGCTTCCAGCTAGGCTGTCTGCTTACTTGTCCTGCTGGGACAATTGTCTAAAGTGTTGTCAGGTGCACCTGATAGGCAGACAGACTCGCCATACAGGGAAGGATGGCCACTCTGATGGGGATGAGTGCTAAGGCTCATCTGTGTGCATCACATGGCTGAAAGCATCACTGAGACCACCATATAACAGCGTATATTTTGGTTTCTGGTCTAAACTTGACTCTGGCTTAGAGGTTAAGAAGAATAAGGCTGCCCAGGAAGGCCTGCCTCAATCCCAAGGGTAGATTGTCATTGAGCTTGTGTTACAGAGGACGAAAGAGAGAAAATAATAGCTGAGGCATGGGTACAGAGGGATAATTGAGATAACTTGGTGTTGTGGCAATCTCCTCTCTCTGATCCTAACAAAATGAGGAAGAAATGTTTGAATCAAAGATGGTGAACATCTTCAGTAACTTAGTTTGTGTTTGGTGCCAGAGCCTGGAGCATGGGGATTCATAAAACCTAGCTTGGGAAAATAGCTAAGAGACAATGACCTGTTTGCTCCTCAGCCCATAGCTGGTCTGTTTGTCAATGAATGACCACTAAGGCAAGCTTCACCCTGATGCGATTGGCTACTGTGCCAGGCATTGAATCTCTCAGGAGACAGCCCATGTGGACCAAGACTCCAAGCCCTGGTGATGATGGTCTCTAAGAATGTGATTCTCAGGAAGCAGAGCTGATGCCCAAGAGCCAAGGTGAGTTAACTTTTTTTTTTTACTTTTTATAACTGTTTTTCAAGACAGACTTTCCCTAAGTAGCTTTGCAAGATGAGTTTAATGTGGACTTTTTATATCAGTGGCCACTGCAGGGAGAAAATGGTGGCTTTTATTTGGTTATGTGAGATAAGTCAGCTTATGATCAGGCTCAAACACTTAACACTCTCCTTGCCCCACTGCCTGCCTCCTGGAGTCAGCAGGAATAGGTGCACACAATGCATGCTATTTGTACCAATATCTTTCCACACACTGCCCCAAAGTTCTTCAATAATACTCTCCTCCCAGTGGAGAAAAGTGAGTCCTAGTGATGCTGGGTAACTTGCTCTTTTGGACAGAGCCTGACTGGTTGAGAATGTTTACATTCCTCTCAGGTCATGGACACTGACAAGATGACTAGTGTGGTAACACCTTGTGTCCTTGTAGTCTCATAAGTTAACTCCAGAACTCTCATTGACCATCCTTTTCTCCTCAGATCTGCAGGCTATGGTGGATATGTTCACACAAAGCTCATCTCCATTGTATGTGCATCCTGTCTCATCTAGGCAAGTGTTCAGTGAGCTGGGTGCAGGAAGCACAGCGTCTAGAAACAGACATGTTGGTGGAAACTGCTTTTCCTTCTTGATCCTAGAGCCTGTTTATGGGCCAGTAGCAGAGCAGCTAGGACAAACCACTAACATCAATCAGGGCTTTCCCCGGAGAATCGACTGAGTTCTCCCTCAGGAAGTTCATATAGGAAAAAGGGAAATTACTGCTGCCTCATTACATCCTGAACTCCACCAGAAATCAACCAGCTAATTTCTGAAAGGCCACAGGTCTAGGGATTTTGCTAGACTATTCTTTGGTCTAACAAAAATGTCTTCTTATAGGTGCTTGGCCATATCCCTAATCTTCAACCCTGAGAAATCTGACCTGAGTATGTGCACACTTAACATCAGTGACATGGAGGAAAAAGAGGACCTCTCACCTCCCCTTTCTAGCAGACTAGCATGGCATTGTCTGAGCTCTAGAGGAACTCAGAGGCTGCACACAGCAACAGGAGGACATGCTGTGGAGAAGAATGACATGGTTTTTCTGCCAACATCCAACTATGGACAACCACCCAAATTATCAAGAAGATCTGTGGAATCTACAGGAGCATCCCTTTTTTAAAGCCTCTCGGTGGATACTTACTGTTGAATCGCTGCTGAATTTAGAACCCTTTGAGAGTTTACAGTTCAGAAATTCACATATGCCTCTCTGTCCTCACAGATAACCCAGAAAACCTGCTTGAGCAGGTAAAGAAATATCTCAGGAGCCTTGGGATTTAAATGTACTTCTCTTTCTGAACTCTAGAGTGAATACCTGAGAAGGACAGTATGCATGGACCACCTGTGCCAGGCCCCCACTAACATGAAAAGGGAGAACTTAAGGTCATACCCTCTGACAATCTTTCACTGGTATTAGACAGAGGCAATTTACAAACAAATACTGAAGTACTTAATTAGAATTCCAACATAATTTCTATAAATTGGCATTCAGATTATTTGACCCCAGGAAAAGAGAAATCCAAATCTATATGAGTTCTCAGGTTCTACCAGTTGTTAGTCTAAAGGTGACAGATGTTTGCACTTCATCTGTACACTCAGCAAAATCCAGTCTGATGCTCAAACACAAGATGTAACAACCAATAGGACCTAAACCTAGAAGACATGGCAAAGGACAGGACAGATTCCTCCAGACCCCAATATTCCTCTTTCAGGACTTACAGCCAAGCCTCAAAGAACCATAAAGGGTTACAGTATTGTAAAGGAGACTGGACACATGGAACAGAACGCTCAGAAACAGACCCATCAAAATCCTGTCAGCCTATTTTCTCATAATCACCCAGGGAAATCAAGGCAGAGAGAAGGACTTATCCACAAATGACTGCAGAAGAAAATTTAAAAACAAACAATAAGGAACCCATTGAAAAACTGAACACAGTCACCATTTCAATTGATCCCAAATACAGACACTATAAATTTCACATAAAGTTATAGAAGAGGACTACATAAGTTCCTGCCTTATAGGAAGGAGGAAAGAGAATAACAAAGAGATTAACTGCGGACTTGGGAGCCCTGCTGCCACCAGCCATGAAAATACACAGACTGGAGCATGGCTGGAGCAGGACGCTCCCTCAGGACATCTAAGAGAGCCTGGCGCCTGACACACCCTGGCAAACAACAAACACTGACGGTTAACACTGTGTGTCTATGAGGAGGTGGACGTGTAGTGTGTGCTGTGTGGTGTGAGGAGTACTGAAACCTATCCCATTGTGTGGGATGGAGGTGAGCTGTCCAGCTGATCTGATAACAGCACTGTATGGATGGTCCAGTCAGATGGGGAAAGCAGCAGGGCTGACACCTAGATACTCACATGTGCTACCCATGCCCCTCCCCTTGTCAACAACTTACACACAGTGTCAGTGTAAGGACATGAAGGATGCCCCTCACCTGCACTCACCACATAGTTCTCTAGGTATTAGTACTAGATATTCAATTCCCCTTTTGCTGTCTCATATACAATGCTAGATTCTACACAATACTAGAGATGCCTCCAACCACAGTGTACTAAGACATGGGGAAAGGTATCAGGCCCTGTTGGACACTTGACCTCCTGACAAGGACACACAGTTACTGCTTGGTTCAAAAACTCCTGGAATCTTCCTGCACTGACACACAACACTAGGTATAATGCAGCGTGTGACACTAAAGCCATGCCACCTCACTTGAACTAGCAGCTGTCAGACCAGATAAACATCCCCTACATCACACACACACACACACACACACACACACACACACACACACACACAGCCTCAAATACACTTCTATTTATGGGCCATGCATGTCTCTAACCAAATCACACATTGACTGCTAGGTATCAGACCATCCTGAACAAACACTCACACACAACTCACATGTATTCCTAGGTCTGGATCCCAAATGTCATCCACATAATCCTTTATTAACAGCTATTTATGAGGCCATACAGAACACTCTCTTGCCACTGTACCCAACTACACTCTTACTATTGGACCCTACTTGACACCCTAATGTCACTGAAATTCGACATACTCTGCTAGAGTTCAGGCCCTCTTGAATAGCACACCCCACCACAACAATCTACAATATTAATATCAGGACCCTGAACACTACAGTCCATCAACTCATATATTCCTGTTGGATATCAGACCTGCTGGGCCTTGCAACACTCCACGGCAACACTTAAGAGGCTAGCCGAGGGACCTAGAATGCACACATCACCCTGCAGCTGCCCCACATGCACTGCTAGGTATCAGGCTCTTCTGACACCCCAACAGCCTTACACACACTCAAGTGTCAAGCACACTTGGACATCACATAGCAAACTGCCAATGTACTTCAAAATGAATGATCAGATCTTGTCAGACACCAGCTCAGTTACAAGCTAACACATACAACACAGGGATTGTGCAGAGCTTACACCCTGTAATTCCACTGCCCTCTCTTACATACAGTGTTATCACACACAATGGACACACCACCACCCCTGTGACCACACATCTACTTCTAGGTGTCAGTGCAGTTTGACCTCATACCCCACATTAATCAACAGCCATCAGACCATGCTGAGAACTTCTCCCCCTCCTAGGTCATGCACATTCCATTGCTGGACATCCTTCTGCAGAAGACACAGCCACACTGCTAGGCATCAGCTTCTACTGGACTATGCTATACAATGTGCTGGGTCTCAGGCTCTACTGATAGTTACTGGGAAAAGTGTGTGTGTGTGTGTGTGTGTGTGTGTGTGTGTGTGTGTCTGTGTGTCTGTGTGTGTCTGTGTGTGTACACGTGTGCACTTGTACTTGTAAATGGTCAGAAAGTAGGCTGCAAATTCTTGGAGATGGCTGTCAGTGACTAGGTAAATAGAACTCTAGGGTCAGTATAGTATTAAGAAATTGATCAGAGCAAATATTGGCAAGATATGGACTTGAGGGATTTGGGAGAAGAAGGGTAGAAAACAAGATATATGGAACTACACAAATATAGGTCTGGGGGAGGAATTTGAATTTACTTTTGAAGTAATGATAAGCCAAGTTTTTCTTTGTCAGGAAGACTAGGTGTCGTTGTCTGTAAGGTGTCCACACACTTAAATTGATGCACCTCCAAATTGCTAGGTGTCAGGTGCTACTAGGAATTTTGTCTTCTACAGCCAGAGCCAAACACACATGCCTAGGTGTCAGGTCCTGCTAGGTCAACTCTCCATTCAAGAAAATGCTCCTCTACACCGTTGGGTAGCATGTCCTCCTAGAGATCAACACACAAATGGCCAAATCCTCATGCACAGTACTGAGTATCGGGTCTTTCTTAATATCCCCTCACCTACAGCCACAGAGGCCATACACAGCCCCCATATACATATAACACAAGTGTCAGGGTCTAGTATTCATCTCTTCCCTTACACCACATATACATACATGGTTAGGTCACATTCCTGATAGGAATCACCTCAGCTACAGCAGTGCCGCACACCCAGAGGAAGGTGTCACATCCTGCTAGGTACCTCTTTCCCTGCATCCGAAGATCCAATACAGATACACAGCTAGATTTTTAGTATTGGCACCCCTCCCCTATTGTCAAATGCCTGGTACAGAGCCACACACTCACAAACACACTCAGGCACACATGCTTGTATGATCCCATGTACGTTCTTATGAACACTCACCCAGCTGTCATGTCCTTCACGGTCTCCCCCATTCAGCCAAAGCCCTGTTTACACACAGCCATCTATGTGCTGCCCTTCTAGGTGTCCATCCCTACAGCCACACACATACACAGAGACAAACAGAGAGACAGAGACAGAGAGACAGACAGATATACAGAGAGAAAGAGACAGAGACAGACAGATATTCACAGAATCCTTGGTCAGGTCCTGCTGTTCCTACTCCATAACAGACAAAGCTGTCTACTCAGGACTAGGTGTCAGGTTCTGATACATACCTCTTTTCCTATATTCAAAGTGTGTTGCTCTTTCCCAGCTAGTTTCCCAGTATTCACCCTTATAATCAAATGCTAGGTACACAGTCACACACTCAGAAACACTCTCAGGCACGCATGCTCCTACAAACGCCTTCACAAACCCAGTGCACTCACCTAGCCTTTAGGTCCTAAAAGATAGACACCATACAAGGAAAGACCCACATACACTTCTAGGTGTTAAGTCCTGTGAGGTAGAGGTATCACCCATACAACAAACAAGCACACATACATTTCTATGTGTTAGGTCCTATGAGGTATTCAACATAGAGACAAAGCCCAAAGCCTACTAGGGATTTCTCCTGCTAGGTGTCCATTACCTACAGCCATACTCTCTCTTTCTCTGTCTCTCTGTCTCGCTGTCTCTCTCTGTCTCTCATTTATCTATCTACCTCTCTCTTTCCCTCTAGAGTATTAAACACACAAACACACACACACACACACACACACACACACACACAAATAAATGTATACATGTAGATCTAAGCCCATGTCCTTTGAGGTATACACTTGCCTAGATCCAAAGACTACCAAATACATGTTATTTGAATGGTCTTTCAAGGTATTGCCCCCATTACAATGGCAAAGCCACCCCCTCATTCACAAGTACACACACACACACACACACACACACACACACACACACACACACTAATGCAGTATTGCAGCAGGATCTGTTAGATTTCCAACTTCATTAGAGCAAAAACCTTCCAAACAGGGCTGTGTCAGCTTCTGCTAGGTCCATTCTTCCCTACAGCCAATATTCCTCTTACATAGCTAGGTATCATGAGCTCCCGAGATCCACTGCTACACAGTAAAGTCCCATGCACAGGGCTAGGTGTCACATCCTGCTAAGAACCCCCTCACCTACAGCAAACACCCCAGACACAGCTCTCATATTCATATAAGGCAAGTGTCAGATCAGATATTTGTCTCTACCCTAACAACCAAAGTTCCACATACACAAACATGGTTTGGTTTTAGGATCAGCTAGGTACCTTCTCCCCCACAGCAACACACCTGGTTAACACAACAAACATATAAACACAAGCATGCACATATGCACATATGCAAACAATCATGCATGCAGGCCTGTTGGAACCCACTCCAGGCTGTGAGTCCAAGGAGCTTTTCCCTTGCCCCATGATAGGAGCTATGGATTTAGGGGAGGGCTGGAACTTGGCACCTACCTCTGAGTGTGTGACATGTTGTAGAAGTGGGGGATTCCCTGTAGGACCTGACAAGTTGTCATGTGTGTTTTTGTAGCTTTGACTGTAAGGGTGGGACAACAATGCTACCCTTGTACAATAGCTTTGTCTATGGGACAGCCAGGTATACAGAGACCTTGTCTCAGAAAAGAAACAAAGAGAGAGACATAAAGTAGGAGAAAGAGAGAGGAATGCAGAAAGGAAGGAGGGAAAAGAGAGAGACAGAAAGAGAAAGAGAAAGAAATAAATTAAGAAAGAAAGAAAGGAAGGAAGGAAGGAAGGAAGACAAAGAAAGAAAGAAGAAAGAAAGAAAGAAAGAAAGAAAGAAAGAAAGAAAGAAAGAAAGAAAGAAAGAAAG